GAATATATAATATTCAGTTTGCATACTGTAGTAACATTGTCATTTCTCAAATAACTTTTAATGTATATAAATGATATTGTTTTTATGTTAATTTTTTTTTGTAAAATACTCTAATTACATGCTTATGCTATTTTTTTTGTCGTTTTGTTTTTTATTATTGTTTGTTGTTATTGTACATTTTTAAGTCAAGTTATTTTTACATTGGCTTAAATATAGTTTTTAAAATATTATTGTGGACAGTAATTACTGTTCTATTTTTGTCTATTGTATTATTATATTAAATGGACCTAAATACTGGCTATCTACCTTTTTTCAGAATTTTTTAAAAATTCAGAACTATGATTTCGTTTAATAGAACCTAGAGTTTCATGATGGTAAGGGGTACTAAAAATTCCTTCCCCTATACCTAGACCGCAGAAATGTTTTGTGCCTATAATCATTGAAGCCGCACCTTTTGTTATGAGTTTGTCTGCCACTTCATTGTCTTGGATTCCAGCATGCCTCATAATTCATATTAAGTACACCTGCAAAGAAGTTTGTATTTCCAAATTAACATCAAAATCAAAAATTTCGCATTACGATAACTCATTAATTCAAGATCAATTGGTAATCCAAACAAAAAATTTTGATTTATTTTTTGCAAGTATTACTAAAACAAAGACGTACCCCAAAAGAAATGATGGTGGATAAAGTAGAACATTATAGTTTAATGAATGTTGATATTAATAGTAGCTTTGATTCACTAAAATGGTGGAATAATCACAAAAGTGATTTTCTATAATTACTGAACAATGAAATCGATTACGTCCGAATAATTAAAATAATATATTATTTTGAAATTCTGCAATCAAACACGAGTATGATAAAAAGGAGGGATATTTGTTATTTTTTTGTATAAATATTTTAATGATTAAACAAATTGTACTATTAACTAAAGAGTTTTTTCATAAGTAATTAATTATTGTTTAAATAAAAATTTAATTTTTATATTATACGGTTGTTTAGCATGTATATAACTATCTAATTAATTCTAAGTTTTTATCTGTAATAAAAACTGAAAACATAATATTCAATGCACTAAATGCCACTAAATAAGGAATTTTAAAGAAACTTAGTTATTTATTTAGGTTTGGAATATTTAATTGCTCTCCTTTTAATTTTCTGTTGAAAGATATAAAATAGAAGCACATAATAAAAAAATAAACTTTATAAAATGTGTGATGGGATTTAATTTGAGATTTAATGAAAACACATTAATTATATGAAAAGTTTATTTTTATTTTATTTAATCATTTATTAGTATATTATTATTATGATCTTAGTCAGCTCACGTTCTACAATAGATTGTCTTCTGAAACTTATTCTAAATCTTACAATAGTTTCATTATTTATTTTTAAATGATATATTTATCTTATTCTAACAATAGGTAACTAAATCTAACAATAATCTCTTTATTCTAATTGGTTATTCTTATATACTTCACAATTATAATTTCCATATACTTCCTATTTTTAAATGACACATTACTTAAGACAAGAAATGCATAGTAAGTACTTACTGTGCATTTGTTTGTCATGTATCTCACATTCACATGTGTTCCGATTTGTGTGGTCTCAATATATTTGACAGCACATGAGCTCTTAACCTAATTTCAAGTGGCAAATTATTTATGTCAGAAGTATCATTTTCTGACTCATGCCATAAATTACTAAAATGCAATGGTTAGCTCATTTAAATCAGAACATAAGTGTAAAGAAGAATATGAATGCAATGGTCATCAAAGACTAACATTAAGTAAGGGCAACTATAGATATACCATTACAAATGGTTTTCCTAGAAGTTTTATTACAAACCTTTTTGGAAAACCCAAAATTTCTTAAATACTTAATACGCAGAGTGATGTGCAATACTTAATTCAGATAAATTCTTCGTTGTCTTTACGAAGCAGGGAAATGCACTACATTAAACTGTGCGAACAGTGCATTTCATTTGCTTCGTGTGCAAACATGATTCGCATTTAAACAGTAACCAAATGCTTGACTAACGTAGTAACATTGCAACACATCACTCTAGATATGTATTTTGTTGTTGCTGCGTTGCACTTTTAATACGTTACTTGGTTACCGAGCGCGTTACTCGAACTCGTGAATAACCCTAGTGTGTTTCATACTGGCTTTTGAATGCATTCATTTCGGCCTATGATCGGCACTATATGCAAAACACAACAGCAACCAATCAAACAAAAGGCTATGAATAAGAAAACAAACTAAACATTAATACAAGTTACAACCGAATATATAAAATCCAAAAATTTTTGATTTTTCAGTTTCGCTTCTTATTCTTTAAATACTTTAAAATTACCTTTAATTAAGAATTGATTTTTTTTGGATAACATTAGAATTGTGATCAAGGATCCAAACTCCAAATTGCAATTAATTGTAATGGGTAATCGGGTTTCTCCTATTCCAACTACAACTGCAATGAAAAGTTTTGTTTTAAAAAAAAAAGTATAAATACAAAAATAAAGTGTGACAAAAAACCTACTTGTGGAACAACACAATTAATCATCGCTTCTAATTTGACAGGCACGAGATCTAAGCCTGACACTTGCAGTCCAAACAAATTATATACGGATTATAAACTAATGAAAAGAAATGCGAAGATTTTCTATGACCATTGATGATGAGTACGTGGTAATACTCGAAGCATCATGGTATGGTTTACCAAATTTCAATAAATTAACTAAATTTTTTTGTTATATTTTCTTTGCTATTCGAATCTTTTCTAAGTAATTCTTTTTATCATAAAGACACGTCACTCTAGACAAGAAAAAATTAACATCAAAACTTTTAATTCCAAATTACAATTATCTTGTAATTGTATCAGATTTAGTAATTATCTTTGCGCTGTTCTGTGTGGGTACACTATTTTATTTTTGAGGTTAAGTCAAATATATTTTTATATCAAAAAGTGTTGGTATTCAATTCGCAAATTGCTTTTATTGTGGTTAGTCGTTTGTGAGCTCTTTATTAAAATCATTTATGCTATACCCATTTTTTTTTTCAAAAACATAATTCTAATTGCAAGAGTATTCAGCCAAGTGAGTACATAATAATGTTTGATACTTTTACAGTTCTATAATTAAATTTTTAATTTAATGGAATACACTAAAAAATTTACACTGTTCACATAGGTATATTCGGGTCACTATACTATCGCATATCTCACGACTTCTCGTGATTTTATCAAGCCCCATGAATGCCATCATTTTAATTTACACATACATGCATATATAATTTGTATATAGGTCATTCGTTCACAAATCGGACACTTTTTTGGCCTCATCATTTCCGATTTGACTGAAATTTTTTTTATGAGCTCCATTCATAAAATAAGAAGACCTGTACCTTGGGAAAAAATTTTGTCATTTTATTTTCTAAAAGACAAACTTAGAAATTTTTATTTTCCAGCGCCGGGCTAAAAAGTAGTCATTCAGTCCATTGACATCTTAAATATATTGATATCCGTCCCAACAGTAGAAAAATCAATAAATTTGAAAATCGTTGAGCGTCATCTATCGTTAACATCGGTGCAGTAAACATACACATCGATGACATATATTCTAACTGTATTTAAACTGTAGTTATAGTTCACATTACGTCTTGCATCATTTCAATTATTTCGTCGTAAACACAAATCTGTTCCAAAATGACATTACCTCCGACCCACCGTTTTGTTCTTTATTACCTAATAACGCTACCAGAATACCCAAGTTCCACTCTTAAACACCTCTGAAATGATGCTGGATGTGTCACTAGGGTGACTCACGTTGTAAGAGGGAAAATTAAAAATGAACTTTTGAATGAGCGCATTCCCTAGCAATATGCTATTGACCAATGGCACTCGTCGTTGCGCCACTCTAGCAAAGTTTACAGTACAAAAACGGACATTTTTCAATTCAAGGTCGTTTTATGTCTTTGTTACTTATTTCAACAATTATTAATATATATTCATTAAATAGATAGTTAAAATATCTTTTTAATAAAATATTAATGGGCAAAATTGGTTAAAAATTATACGCAAAACACAATAATTAGTTAAACGACAGTGCATACTTAGCTGGCTTTCAGAACGCAATCGCAAATGTTTACAAGAAACGGAAGAAACATAAGTAAAAAATAAAAATGAAAACCAAAAATAAAAATAATAATTTTCTACCAAATAATTTACCAAATAAAATAATTTTGTAGATACTTATAAAGATATGTAAGTGTAGTCAAAACAATAAATTTTTTTGTAAGAAAAGAGAAAATTGTCGTCCAGAAGGAGTATTGCTGGAGTTAATATCATTCTACCAAACGAAGCAACAGCGGCTAAAGGAAGAACAGCGTAGAAAACTTGAACATATTAAATCACAGTACGCAAAGGCCATATAAGCAAGCGCTTTTTAGAGGTGATTATAATTCCATTGATTTTAATTTGAATAAATTCGTGGAAGAAATTTATCCCGAAATTGACACTGAGCCTGTCGTCACAACACAACAATATTGGTATAATGCAGATAGAGCGATTAGGCTAATTTAGAAGAAATATCAAAGCGGACAACTTCAACTGAGCAATTAAAAATATATCACTTGCGACGATTATAAAGAGCTAATATTGATATTTTTAGGCGAAAATGTCTGCAATTTTAAATTTCGTCGCTCAGATGACACTTCAAATTCTCGATGGATGTTGAAAGTCGTATATTTGTACTATACGTAAAAATGACCTATAGATATGAAATTCAACACAGAGCAAAGTCATTCAACTAATTATTGTGTTTTGCACAAAATTTTTTGATCAATGGAATATTCCTAGGGGGTTCGCTAATTTAAAATTTCATTTTTGTTTTTTGACCCACCCTAATGTGCCAACTAATTTTCATGAAATGTTGCAATAATAACAATGTTTTTTTTTTCATAATATTCAATCTAAAATATAATTTTCTTTATTTCAGATACACTAAACCAGATAAAAAAGAAAACCAAACAAAAGTCTCTTTAAATGATGCCATTATTCCTGCAAATGAATGCTTCGAACACTTCGGAGGTGTTACTTTCTGTATTTTAAGTATTGCTGCCTTATATATTATGATCCGACTGATTAAAATAATATACCACGTGACTCAATATTTGGATATCAAACATTTTTATAATATTGCTTTGCACATAGAAGACGTAAGTATGGAAATTTATAATTTTAATAACATTATTCAAGATCATTATTCCTAGAATGAACTTGAAAATATAACTTGGCATGAAATCAAAAAAAAACTTCAAGAAGTTCAAGCCGAACAACATATGTGCATTGATAAAGATCAGTTGACTGATTTAGATATTTATCATCGGATTTTAAGGTAATAATTTAATATATAAACAATAATTCAATGGCAAAGTAAGTTATTATGTCGTCATAAAATTATCACTGTTATATGTAATATAATGACATAAATTTATGTTTCTAAAAAACACTTAATTTATTATTAAAAATGAATTATCATTTATTATCTTATTTTTTTTTTATTAATTGTTATAAACATTGAGCTGTAATGTTCATGTTTATAACATTTATTTTTTAACAGTTCGTAAATTGCTAGCCCCTGAAAATATTCGAATGCTTATCTAACTTGTGTATATGGGTCATTCTTTTACAAATCGGACACCTTTTTGACCTCATGATCTCCGATTTGGCTGAAATTTTTTTATGAGCTCCTTTCATAAAATAAAAAGACCCGTATCTCGGGAAAAAATTTTGTGATTTTTTTTCTAGGAGATATGGACCCATGGGGTTTTGAGAATTGGCATAGTAGACACATTTTCAAATGGCTATATCTCAAGTTCTATAAAAGGTAGAAACTTGAAATTTACAGCGTTTCAAAGATAATTGATTGAACTTTTATAAAATTGAACTTGTTTATATTTAAGTACTAATATTAACTATTAAATTAAAAAAAAAAATTTTTCTTAAAATATATCCCATGGGATTCCATTTTTTATATTTTATCATTTTTGGTCATTTTTTACCAAAATCTGTCCGGTTTGTAAAAGAATGACCCATATACTATAAATGCAAATGAAATTTGCTTTGCTCACTTATAATAAGTGTAGCAAAAAAAATTAATTTTTTGGATGAAATTGAAGGCTTAATTACCATAGTTAGAATGATCCGATTTCGGTTAAACATGCGCCATTTAGTTCAATAACTTATTACCATTTTAAAGGTAATTTCATTATGCATCTTTCATAGATGTCTTCGTCCATATTGGCAAAAAATTGATACAATCGATTTTCACTATTCTCTCTTGAAGGGAATTTTTTAATAGAAAAATCTACCATCATTCACCATGGACAGAAACAAATGGTAGTTTCGATAGATTGGTGCCAGGTCTAGACTATAAGTAGATGCATAAGAACTTTTTAAACAAGCTCCTGGAGCTTTTAGCGAGTCATTATCGATGTGTGTGGCCTGGCACTGGCCTGATGGAACACGAATTCTGTCATATTGTTGGCAGTATAGTTCTGAGTTAAGAGTTTTGCCGTATGTAAGCTGCTGATAGTAGATGATTCCCTGAAAATTCCAGCAAACACACAAACGATCCTAGTTTGGCCACAGTTTCAGTCTGCTCACCGCGATTCGTGCACGACCGTTTTCGCTTGACGTCATAACTGATCAGTCTAGTGCTACTACATAAATTATTCTTAAATAATTTCTTTTAACATCTGAAATCAAACTTCTTGATTTATCCAAAATTTAATGATTTTACTTAATGTATGAGTCAAGCCAAATGAGTCTAGGTTCGCTCTGAAAGATCTTTGAAATGCGTACTCGTAGCAAATATAAAGTGACTATCTTTGTTTGTTAGTATTCGCCTTTCGCCAAAATGTAAGATTGAGAAATGCAATGAGACTGAGAATGAGATCTGATAGTGCGGAAAATACGTTTAAAATTTTCATTTTATGGACATATTGAAAGTTGAACTTAAAAGAAATAATTGGTTTAATATAGAAAATTATTGAAGTACTTCAAATAAAAGAGATGTTCTTCAATTTTTACTACAACAAACTTTTTGAAGCACTAAAAATTTAAACGTTTTGAACAACTGAGTAAATAATAAAAATTGTTTACAAAACAACATAAAAACAAGCAAATACAATTCAAAGTTGGAAGCCTTTTTCATTAGTTTTAGGCACAAACAGCTGATAAACACAACAATAATCCAAAACGATTATTACTAACTGAGTGTAACATAAATAGAGCTCCATATATTGGAAAGGTATATGTATATCAAATCGCTAGTAGAAACAGCTACGAATACCTAGAATAATTATAATAAATTAACAAGTTTCATACGTCAAATTTCGGCAGTAAACTTATGTTTATTCGCATAAACACTAACATAGAATAAACAAATAGATATTTATAAGTTATAAAATTATATAATTTTTTTTTTTCTTACATAATTATTTACTTGTTTAATTACATTTCTATATTTATTTTAATGTTATCCGAGAATATATATTTAAATTATTCTTTAAAAGGAAAATAACTGTATCAATAACACAGAAATAGCAAAAGCAATCAAATTTTGACTATTGCATAAATATTGCCCAGTCAATTTTTGTCAATCGACTAATTGCTATTTCATTGTATAAGCAAAAAAGGCAAACTGGTTTCATTTTTCATTTTCATTTGAATGCTTGCTAATAATCGATTTTACATATTTGATCATTATGCATTTGGAATATAAGCAACGTCGCTTTTTTTTGCTTTAAGCGAATGTGTTTTAAGGATCAAATTTAACGTGTAAATTTAACCCCCACAATTAAATTAACAATAAAAATAAATACAAAGGGAAAACGACATAAGATAAGCTTTAGAGTTCACTTAGTAAAATTCAGTTAATTCCTTATGTGAAACTCAATTGATTCAAAGCAGCACCTTTGCTTACTTCAAAATATTTCTTGTCAATGGATAGAATTGTGGTGCAAAACAGCACCTTGTGTACTTAAAAATGTTTCTTACATTGGTAAAATTAAGGTGCATAATAGCACTTTGTGTGTTTCAAAATGTTGCGTTGTCGCCTGCAATGGGAGAAATTTTGTATAAAAGGTAGCCAAATTGTGGTTTTCGTTCTATTTGTGATTTGACACCATTGCAGGTAAGTCGTGTGAGGAACATTAAGCATAGCCCAGTCCAAGTGACCTGGACACATGATGGTGCGTTTGGCTTTTGCTGACGTTAATCAAGTAGACAGTTGAGGTTGGATGGGTTAGGTGGCATTGGTGGAGTTACCTTTCGTTTGGCCTGTGCTGACGAGGAGTGCCTTAACCAGTCAATCGGATTTTCATCTGGCCATTACTGATGGAAAACCGAAAGGCGAGTCACCAGCATTATGTTAGGAGTGTGCTAGGGACAACAGTGAGATCTCGAACTGGTTGGTCTGGAAGCATGACGATTCGTCTGTCCGTTGCTGACGATTACCATGTGATGGACGAACAAGTCTGGGTGAAGTGACAATGAGTGAGTTGCCTCCTATTTGGATTATGCTGGCATATGGTAGCTTAACCAGTCAACCGAACTACCATTTGGCTAAAGCTGATGGAAGAATGTGTGACGAGTCACCAACGCTGTTAGGAGACGTGTAGAATATACGAGCGTTTGGCTGACGAGCGTGTTTAGTAGTAGCACCAGGGAAGGGACTGACTATGGCTATAGCTGACAAAGAGTATTCATTTAAATCCTTGACATCGTTTTTCAAACCTATTTGTGATTTAACACTATTGCAGGCTGTACCTTGCCGACTTCAACGTTTCCACCACTTCGAACAACTCACCGTTCCAAACGATTCCATCGTTTTTCAACGCTATTTGTGATTTGACACCACTGCAAGCTGTACCTTGCCGACTTCAACGTTTCCACCGCTTCTAACGATTCCACCACTCGAACAACTTTAACGCTTCCCAACTGTAACATTGCCATCACTCTCAACGCTTCCAACTTTCAGCGATTCCAGCTCTTCACACCAATTGCAACGATTCCAACAATCAGCGCTTGGATTCTAGTTCCACTTATAACTTTAAGGTTCTTCTTAAAAATAAATAATAAATGTCATTTAAAAACACAAAACACAGTATCGGATGATTTACTTTATTTAAATTCTTTTAACGTACCCTGGTTGGTATACTCGCTGAGTTATACCCCAGCTAACATATAGATAAGGCCGGAAAAGGTCGTTACAGTATATAGATTTCTTCTTTTTGTTTTTGTTTTGAGGGAATGTGTATACATCACTTCTTTGTTGGTTTTGTGCATTGAATAAAGTTATGCAAAATTATAAGTAATGTATGTATGTACAATTTATATGAATTTTTGAAATTATATATTTAAATATTTTATAGCACTATGATAATAATAACAAATATACTTTAAAAATATTAAGTCCAATTTAGTACAAATGCACTTGGAATGTGTATACCTTTCTTCTTTTTGTTTTTATTTGACTTATTGTATATTTTATGCGTGTACAATAAGTCTTTGGGAAGATCGTTGGTTTTGTGCATTGTATGAAGTTATGCAAATAAAGATATGTGTGTGCAATTTGTGTACAAATAATATATTTTCTTTTGCTCTGTCAACAAATTTGTTTTCGAATAATGAGCAGTTTTATTATTCAGCATTGAAAGCCACTGTGAGACTTGAACCCACTAAACCACCTCTTAGAAATGAATAGATAAGATTTTCACAGCATTGCGAAAACTTCATTACAGTAATCAGGGGAGAGAGGAGAAAAAATAGACTTAGTACTTAGCGAGCTAGATTTATCTAAGTCAGAAAGCAAGGGCGTACATTAGGAAAATTGGGTTATTCAGAAGGGGGTAGGGTTAGAGCAGATGAGCGGGGGCGAGGTTAGCAGTAAACTTTGTGACTGGGATCACGAAAGCTGCGGTTATATAGGGGAATATTGTGGAGATTACGGTCCCACTCATCAAGGTAGTGAGACATGTATTGGAGAGGTTTAAAGCGCAAGGCTAGAACAAGATTAGCCTTGCGGAAGGGTTATAGGAATAGAGACATCAGGGATGAGGTCATGGAGCCGGATGAGGTGTCTACGAGCGAGTGTCAAAAGGTACTCGTCAATGCGAGTGATCTTGGTATCGTCGTGAAGGACAGAGATGGAGAAGTGCTTGCCGTTAGGCTTGCGCTTATAGTTGGTGCAATCCCGAAGAAGTTTCCGCTCAAACATGATTCTTTCTACTTGGGCGGAAGAGATTACAGACCAAATGGGGAAGGCGTAGGTGAGTAGAGGGCGAATAAGTTGCTTATAGCAGAACAGCTTAACTTTGCAGCTAAGCTGGTTGTGTCTTCGGAGTGCGTTGTTGAGCTGAATATGTTCAAACCGGACGTTACGGATGGCGTAATCAACGTGGGGGATAAAATTATGTTGCGAGGAAAAAACAATGCCAAGATATTTGAACTTGGGAACTAGCTGGATGGGTGTCTTGTTGTGTCTGAGCTCGATGTCGGAGATATCAAAACCTCTGGTGCGATCACGCTGCTGGCCTAGAAAGGCCATAGCAGAGATCTTGGTGGGGTTGAGCTTAATTTTCCACCTGATGTAGTAGTCAAAAAGAGATCCAAGGTGGGCATTAAGCTCATCGGAAATGCGGCGGGGGTTAGACGACTGCATGAAGACTAGACAGTCGTCGGCAAAACAAATTTGCTTGGCAGGTGCCTGCGAGAGAGGAATGTCTGCTATGAACAAGTTAAAGAGAAGGGGGCCGCGAACCGAGCCCAGAGGGGCACCGGCGTCGATGGGGAAGTCGCGGGACAAAGAGGTACCGACTTGGACTTGAAAAGTCCTATGAGAAAGAAAATTGTGAACCACACTTCAGAGTGATGGGGAGAAGCCGAACTGGTGAATCTTAAGAACTAAGCCTTCAAACCAGATGGTGTCAAAGGCTTTTTCAATATCTAGACTTAGTGCCACAGTGGGCTGCTTATTGAAAAAGCCTACGCATATCTCATTTTGGAGATGATGTAGGACATGGACACAAGAAGTTTGGCTTCTAAAGCCAAACTGGTAAGGGGGAATAATATTATTATTCGAAGAAAAAGACTTCAGCTTACTGGCTATGAAAGTTTCATACAGCTTGCTGATAGAGTTAAGAAGAGAGATGGGGCGATAGCTGAAGAATCAGCTTTGGGTTTGCCACTCTTGACAATGGGACATACTATGGCCTTTCTGCATGTCTGAGGGAAGCAACCAGTGTTGTAGGCATGGTTGAAGTGCATGGCGCACTTTTTAAGGAAGAGAGGTAAAAAACGTCGCATGGCGTAGAAGGACACTCAGTTAGTGCCAGATGACTTTTTGGGCGCCTTGAGCCGAACCATGTCAGAGAGATTTGAAGGAGTGAGGAACCCTTAGGTGTCTTCAACATTGAACAGGCATTCTTCATAAACGATTAATCAGATTTTATCTTAGCACATATGTTGTTAACAGAATTCCAAGGATAAGTGAATCATCAATAAGAAGTCAATAACCTTTTTAAAAAACTGTACATAAGAGAAAATAACATATCAGAAACCTATGGAGAGTACAGTGCTCGTTAAACATTTATCGAAAAATAACAAATTTCTTTGTGATGATTTGCGGTTTAGAAACCCGCCAAATTAGAAAAAACAATCCGTTCAATCAACGAGCAAATTTGTTTGGTAGATCTTGAATCTGGGATGCCCTTCAACATGTTACATTATGCTGGTATTAGTTTTAAACGAATATTTCATCAACTATGATGACAACTGTTTACGTTGTCATCTCATGTCTAAAGCAGATTTAAATTTCTGAAAAGACACGTAGGCAAAAATGTTTGTGACTTTTTTATACCCTCTTTGTATTTATTTTAATATGTATGTAGTATATATTTTTATGTAATTTGTGCATTTTTCACAAGTGATATTCCTGCATGTTGTGAACTGTCACTTACGGCTGTATTAGACCGACGCAGAGATGCTGCCATAATTTTTTACCATCTTCATCCTAACTTGTTTGTTTGAAAAATTATTATCACAATTGAAGAACTAAAAACTTGGTAGCAAATCTTCAACCTTAACAATAGTAGTTCACCTGCAATCATTTTATATAACATTCTAATACTGTAAGCTGTATTTTCTTAGTGCAAACATGTTGAGGTTAAATAACCCAAATAAAACTACAACCTTCTTAACTTCTTTGGCAAATAAGTTCTAGGTCTTTTTTACGTTTAAATGCAAGATCTACGCGTGGATTTATAAAATTGTTGCTGAAATATATCGTATGGAACAAATAATCAGAGCGGGAACAAATAATAAGTGACACGTACAATGAATCACTGTTTTGCATTGACTATATTGATGACACCGATATAAAAATTGCAAAAGTACCACAAATTAATCATGAAAAATATTTTTGAAGCAATCCCCATTTATTCTATTAAACTTCAAAAGCTGTTCAAAAGTTGTGATTACAAATTAACAACAAGAGATGGTGTTGTTGGTTATACCGGCTCAACCAATGATGCAAGAGTTTTTTCGAATTCAGTATTTCTAACAGAAAAATATCGATTAATTCCAATCAATCACGGATTGCTGGTGACTCCGCATATCCCGTGTCTGATATTATTATAACATCTTATAGAAGCAACTCACAGCAACTTACCATTGCAGAACAAATTCAGTTGAATAAACGCCATAGTAAATATCAAGTAAAACTTAAAATATGAAAAGGTAACTATATTAAAAAGCTCAAATGTATATATATAGTAAACCTAATACATTAAGTGTATCAACCTTATCATTGTGATTAATTATAATTATAATTATCTATAATTATAGATTAAAAATAATAAAATTAAATTTTAATATTTGTTAAAACTTAAAACTAAATTGAATCATTAATTAGTTAGGACAATATAAGAGAGAAAAATGAACTATCCTTCGTTTTGCCATATTTTAATTCCGGTTCATATTTCGTCAATCTCTCTTTTTGTTGTAACTTTTTTAACCTGAATTCCATGTTCATTTTATCCTCATCCATGCGCAATTTTTTTAGTTCCAATTGTTTGTGAATTTTTGATTTTATTTGAAGCTTCCGATTTACAATATTTTTTTACAACTAAAAAGTACAAGGTTATGCATTTTATGCGTATTATGCAAATACGGTGCCTTGATTGTTTCTTTGGTATTTATTTTAGTTTAAGCATGTTTTATGACTCTATTTGTGTGTTCGTTTTTTAGAATTCGAAGAATTTAAAAGTTAACAGACCAATATAAAAATAAAGCATAAATTATTGAACATACGCTAGCGCCTTTATTCAGGCAAAATGGCCTAATATAACAAAACATTTAATATAATATAAAAATATTTTAATCTTTAAAATTTAGCATAATTTAATGTATTAGTTTTTAAAAATATTTTATAACAATATTTTTAATAAGTTTTAAATAAAAAAAGGAAAATAAGATTTGTTTATTCTTTTTATTAAATATTTTTTTATTATTATATAAATCAAAACTAACATGATAATAGGCTTTGAGAACAATTTTAATTATTGAAATAATTAAATAAACATTTAATATTAATCAAACACAAATTTTAAATGCTGCCCACACAAAATGCTTAATATATGTAAAAACATTTTCGAAGTAAACTTTTTTCTTATGTATAAGAAAGATGACAACATTGAAAAAACAGTAAAAGTGCAACGCAAATTTTTTTTGCGTATTTTTTTTTGTTGCGTTGCATTTTTAATACGTTACTCGGTTACCGAGCGCGTTACTCGAATTCGTGAACAACCCTAATGTGAACTTAATTCCATATTTTAATGCTTATAATGTTAATTGTTTTCAATAGATTTTTTGATATAATTTTTTTTTAATATTTTGATATATTTTCTTTATCGTTTTAAATGTCTTTTAACATGAAAGCCAAATTAATTGATTAAAAAAATGAATGTTTCTTTACAGATTCAAAAACTATATGGTAGCCTTAACTAATAAAAATTTACTTCCTGTGAAATACAATATTCCGATTATTGGTGAAGTTATATCCCTAAGTCGTGGTTTGATGGTTAATGTCGACTTTATTCTATTCCGTAAGTTTTTTATATTTTGCATTACAGTTACTTATAAAGTTTAATTTTAAGTTTTAGTTGCATATTTAGGAGACACCTAACTATTTTTAAGCTAATAGTAATTTTACGCAACCAGTGGTCAGCAATTTCCTGGTAATAATTATTTTTATTTGAAAATTCATAAAAAAAACATGATACTATTTTTAAAGTTTTTATAGATAATTTAAAATTTATTAAATCAGATATAATTTTGTCATTATTGCAATTGAACAAAAGAACTTTTCGAGCAGTAGTTGGAAAGCATTACATACTATTGTGTGAGGCTTTAATTCCATAAAACCATCTTTTAATAATGTTTTGTAGATATTTCAAAATTTCAAAATTTAAGAAATTTTCGGCTCCTTTCAAGGAAATTGAAAATATTTTGAAGGGGCAAGAAGCTGATATTAGAACTCCTTAGCACCACAATCTCTGCTTAATAGTGTTATCGCCCTCTAAGCAAAGTGGGCATAATATATTGTCAGCGAGGTTAAAACGAAAGATGTGTTTGGCGCGGGTGGTGTTAACAGTGATCGTCCCAATTAGTACCCTACAGTCTCTGCGACATAAAGTCAAAAAAAAATCTGTCGCCTTTACATTGATTTCACGTTTGATGTGCTTACAGCCATGGTGATTTCGCCATTAAGTGCTTTATTCTGATTGAATTCAACTATCAATAGCTAGTTTCACAACAGATTTATGCAGGCCAAGAAATTGTTACGGTACACAAGGTATATATTGGAACCTGATACGTTAACATGGCCAGGAATTTATTGAAGGATAAAAACGTTGTGTTCCGACAGTGCTTAACATACATTTACAGTCAGTTTGATTTGACTAGTTTTGATAATGTAAATCGGTTGACCAGAGCGTTAATCGCAGCTTGGCTGTGACTCAAAGCCACGATAATCCTTCCTTTCCATCGGTGTTGTAATATAATACTAAAGTGACTAAGCATAGATATGTCCTTTTCCATTTGGTGTTCATGCGCTAAGTGATTTTTCATATCTTGTTGTTGTAGCCCGCCGGGATCTGAAAAGCATATAACATGTAAGGAATACAAGACGAATACATAACTAAGGGAGTGGATGGTGTATTTATTGTTAAGAGATGATGGGAAGGGGGGGAGGATATAACCTATGTCTACGTCCCGGAGCCACTCGTCGAAGACGACCAGCATCGTTCAACATCCCCTATAGGGGGTCTTACAAGCAGTTATGTGTTTGTTTGATATTTGTCGTTTATATGTGATTTTTCATATAAACTCGGCCCCCGTAATATGAAAATCACCCTTAATTTAATTTAAAATTTTAAAAAATTATTGAATTTCTATAATATAATTTTCTCCGTATATCGATATTTTTTAAAAGAACAAAGGTGCGTGAACATATTTTATACAACTTGCATTTGTGCAAGAAGAGGTTAATGTTCGCAGCATAATTCATGTGCAAATTCAATCAAGAAATTATGTGTGCCTAGTAGTCATATATCACGTCAATGTAGTTAGCACACATCTTGGCCAGTACATTGCATATGTAAATCGTGTCAAGGTTGTCACTATACATCTTGACCAGTAGTCTTATATTAAAACCAAACCAAGGTATTCATGATACATCTTGACTAGTAGTATTTTATGTAGGATTAAAGCAGTGACACGTCCTAACATTAATAAATGCTAATCAAGGCTGTAGCCCAGCATAACATTTCTAATCTCCAGTTAACGACGTCTTCTGACAAAAACACTAAGACGACAAGCACGAGTAGTGTCGTCTGACAGCAACATTTCAGGCACGTGGATGCAACGATCGGAACAATTATCGAAGCACGATCATTCCAAATAATCATAGTCATCAAATTAGTAAACCAGCATTATATTGAAATTATATTGTAATGGACCCCATTTTTTTTTAATTCTTCTAAATAAATAATTGAATTACTATACCAAATTGTCTTTAATTTCCAAAAATAAAAATTATATTGCCGCGACCCTTGGACAACGGCTGAGTATACCTTAGCATTACCAACGACAAAAACGTTGCGTTACAGTATGCCACAATTAAAGGCATAAGTGGTCATGCCTTACGTCTACCACCATTAGTGCAATTGTATCCAACAATTGTCACTTTAAAGGAAGTCTTATTTTCGGGACTCCATTGTACAAATTATTTATTTTATTGTTTCGTAGTTTTTATATAATTATTTAATTATTGCGACTGCTCTTCACGACTGCTGCTGCTGCTCGTTTACCACTATTTCTAACTGCTTGTACACCACGTTTTTGTAACTGCTTCCGCTCCACGTTTTGTAAGAAGTACTTTTACTAAGAAGCTGGTTTAATAAGAAGTTCGTTTAATAAGAAGCTCGTTCAATGAGAAGCTCGTTCAGTGATAACTTACATATTATTCCACAGTGTAAGTCCAAGAACTGATCATTGTGGAACTCCGTCACGGACCTCATACTGTTTTCTGCCTTTTTATGTGTCATTCTACAGTATCGTATTGTTGAAGTAGATACGAATAATACGTAGTCGGGTACTTTCAGAGTTTCAAGCAAAATTAATAACTCAGACCAGTTCGCTGAGTTGTGAGCATTTTTTATGTCCAGTGTGAAGACTGCACTCTATTTGTAGTGTGTGTTTTTTTTTTTGCAATATTTAGTACCGTTCTAATCGCATAGACCGTTGACATGATTTGTAGTGTTTCTTTTCCTGTACAAACTTTGTAATAAATGTCTGGTATAATCATGGTATCAAACAAACAAGATTTTTTTTTGCGGTGAGGCGTGTGAAACTCATCATGGGTCGTCAGTACCATCGTCATGACACCGATGTGCGAGAATCTTTCCGATTTAAACACCATACTACTAAATCAGGGAGACCTTTATGGGACCAGTTTCGTATAACTTCGAGAAGGTTTCTGTTTTCGTTGACTTCTTGTCATCTTCTCTGTTTGCTAATAAACTGCGTCCAAACTTTTGCTTACACACGTTCTTCCTCGTCGAGAAATATCTTCTTGGGGTTTAGCACGTGCTCAGCAAATATCGTGTTCCAAGCATCTTCGCTTTTGAGCATTTTATTTACGATATTTTCTGCAGTGCATTCGAGCGAAGACCTACGTGCGGTTGGCATCGTCTTCGCTACCATGACTGAATATACAACTGGCAGCTATTCCTCATTCTATTGAGGTATTTACAAAATAAGCATGCCCTGACTGCATTTTGGTTGTGTAATACTTAATTTCACAAAAATTTCTGCTCGCCCACGTATTTATGTCAGGAATCAATTTTGCTGTCCGGCTGCCGCTTGTATCTGTTAGCAACATTTCTTGCCAAAGCTGTAGTTCTACTTTCTGTAGCATCGATGTCTTTGTAGTTTTGCGTCAGTACCAAACGTTTTGTTCTTTCTCGTGCTAGGATGTCGATTAGTATGTCTCCACTAATTACTAACACCGCACCTTCCGATACTGTGCGCTATGCTGTGATTACTCTAAGTGCTGCTCTTCGTTGAGCTGCTGCGTATTTTTTTCTGCGACTTTCTACGATCAGCGCATTAGCCCAAATCTCGCTTTTGTAGAAGAGAATCGAGTTTATAACTGATATTAGGAGCTTCCGCTTGTATTGCGTGGGCCCACTCGCATTTGATATCAATCGATTTAGCGATGCTGTCGCCTTGCCGCATGTTTTATTTGTGCCTTGTAGGTTAGCTTTGAATCTAATCTGACAAAGTACGTAGTTGCTTTTTGTGTGATTATGGTGTTTTCGCATACTCTCATCTTAACTTCATGCTAGTTATGTCTTGCTTAGGAAATATTGTGTCTATTATGTTTTATGTGCCCTCATTCTTCAGTTTTGAGCTCAAAGACTTAACCTCTTCGCCAGTTCGACAAGGGTTGTCGTTTATATTGTTGCGGAGTTCTTCCTATTTTTGTTTCTACTATGCCTAATCGCCAATGTCAGCTCTTTTTTGGCATATTCTTTTTTTATATGCTTGAACTTAATCTTTAGCTAGATTTCGTTTTCGTGTTAAAATGTGGTTACGTTTTCTCTGCAATGCGTGTTATTCTAAGTTCAGTTAAGTAAACTGCCTTTCAACATTGTTTTTTACTTCAAGCTTGGTACTTGTGGTATTCTGACATTATATTTTAGGTATTGGTGATCACTGGGTGCTGTGTAATCTTTGTGTACCTTCCTGTTTCTAAGTGCTTCGGCGAGCCTATCCGAAATCAACGTTATATCCGGTATTGTGTATTCACATCCGGGTCTTTTATAGGTATAGGCTGTGCCTGTGTTACAAACGTCAGCTCTAGTTTGGTTGTCATATCGAGAACGTATCTGTCTTGACTGTTTGTGGTATGCATAGCCCATTATACAGAACTTGAGTTAAACTCGCTTGCTATGAGCAACAAACCATCCACCTTTTTTTCTTGGTCCTCAATGTTGGAAAGTTGTTGGAAATCTTCAATATTGTTGTTTGTCGTTTGTGAACTTGCTTCAGGTATGCTAGGCACTTACCTGAACCTGTCGGGTGGTTCGTTGGTTCTTTATTAGAGTTTACGCAGTTAAGCATTTTGGAAACACTAACGCTTGCCTTGCAAATTGGATGTGTCCGACGCCAAAGCCACGATAGCATTATTTGATTCTTTCTATCATCAGCATTATTGATTGGATGAAACCGATGATTCCAATCCCCAGGATTAGATTGTTTATTCGGTATGAGTAGCAGGAATGAATATAGACTGTTGTGTCAAATGTCTTTAGCCGTATTGTGTTCGGAACAAGACAGGCAAGTATTCTTTTTTAATTGAATTGATGCAGGTAAAACTGTGTTTTTGAGGCTTCTTGGTCTGAAAAACTGTTTTCTATCTTAATTTCTAGGTTTTGCATCTTCAATTGCAGCCAATATGTTTTGGAAATTATATACGCGCTCGATATTATTGAAAAAATCACTGCAGTCGAAACAAACGTAAAATTTGAACCACCCCCGTTCTCACTGATGTTATTGCTCGTCTTGCTAAGAAAAGTTTTACCCGTTGACCCTTAATAGAATCTGAGAAACCAGGGGATGGAACAGAACCCGGTGGGGTATGACCAATTCAGACAGTTAAATTTCATCAACAGCTTGTCATTGGAATTGCGTTCATCAATCGACCACTTTGTCAGTTTTATTTGCAAAGCTTTAACGTTTCATTTTACATTCAACATTTAGGTTTCACATTTAACTTCATTAATTTGTTTTTAAACATAATCGCTACTTATTTCATTACCACATTCTGTCGTCGCGGCTGCAGTAAATATTTTTTCAATTTAAGTATTTTGCACTTCGTTTTCATTTTATTCTATGAGTTTACTTATTTTTTTTAATTTCACGCTGGCAACACTATTATACACATTCTGTCAAAGTTTAATGCATATCGTACGATTAGTTTTTGTTTAGCGTCTATACAAAAAGTCGAAAAATTTTCGTGTGGTGATTATTATAATGTATCAAAAATTAGAACAACATGCGTGCATCAAATTTTGTGTTGCAAATGGACTCAAGTGTGCCGAAACTTTGTGTGTGTCGCAACCACGAGTATAGGTACGACTGGTTCAAAAGGTTCAAAAAAAGCGTCATTGTGATGTGGCCAAAGAGATGATGTCCAACGCAGATAGTGACTCCACATTTATTGAAGGCATCGTAACTGGTGATGAGATATGGGTCTATGAATTTGACATGCCCACCAACGTCAATCGACCGAATGGTGCTTCGAAGGTGAACCGAAACCGAAAAGAGAATGCCAAAGTCGGTCCAAAATCAAGGTTATGCTGTTTTGTGACTGTTTGCACTATGAATTCCTTCCGGACCGTCAAACGGTCAATAAGGAGTATTATTTGGCCGTTATATGTCGTTTGCGTGAGCCCATTCGCAAAAAGGCCAGATTTATGGAAGGAAAACTCATGGATTTTACACCACGATAACGCACCGGTTCACATAGCGTTGGTTGTGTCGCAATTTTTGGCCAAACACTCCATCAATGTCATCAACCAAGCACCGTACTCTCCAGATATGGCCCCGTTGGACTTTTTCCTCTTTCCACGACTCAAATTGCCATTGCGAGAAACGCGTTTTGAGACCATAGAGACCATAAAAGAGAATTCGCTGCGTGAACGAAAGGTTATACCTTCGGCGGCCTATAAAACTTGTATGGAAAATTGGATCAAGTGTTGGCATGCATGTATTGCCGCAGGAGGAGAGTACTTTGAAAGCGATAATAAAGAAAATTATTAAAAATTAAAATTTTGCGTTTTGTTTTTAAACTCTCGTTCTTTTTTGATCATAAGGTATATATGTAATATATATAATATTGTTACGTAATCGCCTGTATGCATGTATATTCGAATCACAGGATTTTGTAAAAATGAAACAAACTTCTTAATTAGCGAAACTATACTTTATTATAGTATTGTAGTATTACAAAGAACTAGTAATTACTAGAAGCAAATTTAGGAAAACACAGCTTCACTCAATTCCAACTAATTCCAACTAACTTATTATAAAATATCAATTGACATAAACATTAAAAAATATTTAAACATTCCATTGTTAACCTGATCAAATTCGTAACAATATGTATGTAAATATATGTTAATATATATAATATGTATGTAAATATATGTTAATATATATAATATGTATGTAAATATATGTTAATATATATATATTAAAATATTGCATATTTTATTTCATTTTATTGTTTTAAATTTCAGGAGGACCTGGATCGCCATTTCAAAACAATTGGCAGCTTCGTGAAGATTATAGTATACGCAATAATCAAATTGAGCTAGCTGAGAGACTTTCAAAATTAATTATATGGATAGCGATTGCAAACCTCATATTAGCACCTGTTATATTTGTGTGGCAAATAATATATTTTGTGTTCTCATATGCAAATGTAAGTTTTCGGATTTTAACAATATGTAAGAAATTGTGAGCTTATAGTTTTGAGTGATTTTTATTTTATAATTATCTCTTTAAATTTTGTTTTTTTTAAGATTTCTCCATTTTAAATTACAGTGATTAATTTTTTGATAAGTAGGGAAACAACGAAATTTTATTTTTAATTAGCTAAATTTTTTCTTAACCATACAACTTATTCGAATATTGCCAAATACCCATTATCAGCGGTCTTCTTGGAATTATTTGCTGTATTTAATTCTTCCTGGATAATTTTTTTCATTGTAAATAGCAAGGGTTGAATTGTTAACGCTAATTTAATTAATTAGTTATAATTTTTTTAATTGTAAAGATTCAGTATCATTTTTTTATGTATATTTTTATATTAACCTTTCTTGAGTATAGAATCTAACTTGGAAACTTTTTAGAAATACTTATACTAATATTCTACTCTACAATTCGCTAAAGCGAAATGAAAACTTAAACAATATTTTTCGATCATTTTCTCTTACTTTAATTGTATATAAAGTGGTATTTTTTAATGTTAATTTTGAGGAATTAGTGTATTTATGCAATAGGCTGAACTTCCATAAGCAACATGTGTTTCTTTTGCCATTGTCCATACCGGAACAGCGTAGAATATGATTGAACTAACCATTCTTGCAAATAACTTTCGCAAATAAAACGTGGATCGTTTTATCGGCGCCAGGGAGCACTCTCTCTCTTTCGTGTCATGACAAAGACGAGAGAGAGCGCCTGTTTTTTCACTTGCAATTATTAGGTAAGTGAACCAAAACACCTTAAGTTAAGTGAACCAAAACACCTTAAGTTAAGTGATGTTTCACAAATTGAGGAGGCTATCGTGATTTTTTGAATTTTGTAAAAAGTCAGCAATGTCTTCATTCCACCTTCTAAGAAATTCTGATTCTATACATCGGCTTAATTTTCGGTAGGCCACTTGTTCTTAGCATTGATGCATCACATAAAGTGATAATCCTCTGTTATATTTCTCTTAAAATACTGGACCGTCAGCACCAATTGCCGTTACGCTATCACGCCTAACATGTAAGAAGGCATCCTTATCGAATTAGTGACACTCCAAATCTGCCGAGTGAACCGTGATTACTCTTCATCTAATCAACCTATTTTTGTTCTATATATAAAGCTTTTGTAATTGTTACTTACACTTGTAAGTTACTCCTACACAATCCTTTTTGTTTTATACACTTTCTAGATCGTACAATTTAACAAGACCGTGTTCTAAACTAGACCGTGCTCTCTACCAGACTGCCACGAGACTTCTTTCTCCGGTCCCAAGAAAGTTCGATAATTCTTATTTACTAAGAACGCTCTCTACAATTATCTGCGTTCTTCCTATATACTTAAACGCTATTGGTTAATATAATATAATACTTATATTTATCTGTCATAAAAATATTCATATACTTATGTCATTGGTCGTTTCGTTTCATAATTGTTTTCCTTACACATCTGGTTACCAACTGTATTGAGGGCAACTCATATTGCATGCACAATTGCTCGCAGTATGATTCCGAAAAACACTTAAAACAAATTCATTTGTTGAGATACCGCGATCCAAATTACCAAATGCATATTGAAACAATTAAATATGCATTCAAAATATTTGTCATAAAGAAATGACAAAATAGACGAGTCAAATTTCTGACTCCTAAATTATTTTGTATTTGGCGTTTTGGATTTTTAGGTCATGCTTGATATTTAAATATAATAGTTGGGTAACCGTGACACAATAAGTATCGCACACACAAAGCGTTGTGTTTTTACACCTTGCTGTGTATAAAATTATTTTTTTTTAAGCAATATGTTGCAGTTGCAGTACGTTCAGTTTCAGAGGAGTGCTTCGTATTATTTATAAGTATCGTGCCGATCGTTATTATACATTCCATAAGAATGTTGTCTTTGTTGTTATATTGATACACTCTCATACTATAGCCTAAACATAAAAACACAAAAAATAGACGTAAATTATTGTTGCTTATCTGATCTTAGTTCTTTCGTATTTGTAATTACAAAACCGATCTTGTATCGAAAAAGAATTGATGCTTAGAAAAATAGTTTATTTTAACTATATGAAGGAAACTTACAGTACAAAAAATTGTAGTCAGTATATGAATTTCTTTCAACGTCATGAAGAACTTAAGGCCTCGACAAAAGTTTTCTAAGGGCCATGTTATGCAGTGTCCCGGGTACTGCAAAATTAGCTCTTTTGGGCTATGCCGAAAATGCAGGTTATATATGCAGAGTGTGACATAAGTATTGCCAATTTCGTATCTTTACAATGTTTTGGTACTTTTTAGTTATACCTAAATTTAAAAGGAAATGTAGATATGCTCACTTTCAATTTGCCAACAAAAATAGCCAGCAAAAAAAACTCATAGAGGCTGTAATACTGTTATTTTATTATCATATTATCTTATAGTAATTGTTAACAGTACTTACAAAATAATACGGAAATTATATTGAAAAGTATAATAATTTAATTATTAGCAGTTTATAAAATAGGCTGTGTTGCTTACTGCAATTATTTTCTCCAAAACGTACTGAAATTGGAGAAATATGCCCCTAAAAGGCGCAAATTCTGAAATTTATTACTAAACAACACTGTACAAATACCCCGGCTCACATACCGCAGTTTGAAAGGCTATATTGTTTTTTCCCTCATTCTCAAATTTAAAATTTATATTGAAAACAACAACAACTGTACTTATGCCGTGCCCGAGACACTCTGCATAACATGACCCTAACAATTTCTAATTCGTGCTATTTGTCTTAATTCGTTAAACAATTTGCCAGTTTCGCGATGTACTGTTTTCCTACTGTCATTTTGAATCTGCCCTGCGTCTTATCCTTTGAGGAGTCCAGGCTAACGCGGTGTGCGTGATGTCATCATAAGATTAACGTAATGTGTGCCGTATCCATCTATCCATCTAGCAAGATAATGTTATCTGCATAGGCTAAGTCCTCGAAACCAGTGTTGTCTCCAATTTACACTCCTGTTTTGTAAGTCAAACATTTTAAGCACTCAGTCCACAACTACTATGACCAAAGGTGGTGACAGGATACCGCCTTGCTTGACACCCATGATTGAAGTAATTGCGTCGCTTGATTTGCCATTTTAAAGTATCCTACATATGAATCCTTCATAGCTCTTCATTACAATATTAATAATTTTTGGCGAAACGTTAATTCTTTGTAGAACATGCCAGATACATTCTCTCTTGATAGAGTAAAAAAGCTTTTCATAGTTCACAAAAACTGCATATAACGTGCTGTTGTATTCAATTGTTTGTTTTATGATAGCTTGCATAGTATTGATATTATCAATGCAGGAGCGATTAGGACGGAAACCGACTTGTTGCTTACAGACCTTTTCGTTTAGTGGTTGGACACTTCGCTCCATTATAATCTTGTTAAAAATGTTACTAACCGCTGAGAGAAGCGCGATTCCCTTCCAGTTGTTACAGTTAGATAAGATATTTTTCTTTCACAATGATTGCTTTTTTCCATTTTAATGGTACCTCTTCAAAGTTTTGGATGTCTCTAAATTGCGGACACAGTAGACTGGTTATGATGTTATATGCTTCAAGGCACTCAGCTGGTTATTATCTTACATTTTAATGGTACCTCTTCAAAGTTTTGGATGTCTCTAAATTGCGGACACAGTAGACTGGTTATGATGTTAATATCCTCTTCAAGGCACTCAGCTGGTATATTATCTATCACTGGTGATGCGTTATTTTTTAATAAATCGCCTTTGTTGACTAATTTTGAGCATATCAGGATTGTTGCTATCACATTAAATGTTCTGTCAAAGTGATCACGCAATATTTTTCACTGCTCCTTTTCCTTAGTAACCACATTTCCGTCAGGATGTCTAAGAGGCACATTTCGAACACTGCTTTCGGCCTCTCTTGGGTTCGGCCTCTTGGGTTAATTTCGCATAATATGCCATCTTATCGGCTCTTGCTCGTCTTTTTATCTGCTTTTTAAGCATCGCAATATCATGGTACAGCTCTAGACAACTTCGCGTATTTGGTTGGCACAACATATTTTCACTTTTTGGCCACCAGATTTCAACTAGTTGCCAAAACGTCGCACTTAGCTATACTCTATTGTCTCTTGCTGATGCGCCAAGTTCTTCGTTGGCTACTTCGAGCATAATTGTTTTTATATTTACCCAAAGGCTCTCAATTTCTGTTGTTTTATTCGATTTGTAACAATTTTCATATTTCGTAATCATTGATTGACTAAAGTTAGAGTTAATATTCTCTTTCTGAAGTTTACAGATTTCAAACTTTTTTTTAATTTCTACGTAACATATAGCCCTTGAAAGTTCCAGTCTCATTTCTGCTATTATGAAATAGTAGTTTGAAACTATTTCAGCTCCTTATGAATAAAAATTGAACCACCAATCATTAGATCATGGTTAGAGCATGTTTCTATAAGAAATTCACCATTTCCATTTTTCTGTCCATAAGAATCACCAGATCATTGCGGTTAATACAAGTTAGTGCACTATTGAGTAGGCTATAAACCCGCTGTTTAATTTCAAGCTCCGCTTCCGACGTTTGTTATCGAGCAGTAATAATTCTATCTGAAATTGTGTGTGTCATTCATGTAAGAAACTTAATTCTTCGCCTCAGACACGTACTAACACTATTTATATGGGGATCATCCGGTTTAGGCATGCCTCAGTATATTATTGAGTCACCTTCTGCTTTACGTTGTTCACTAGCAGAACTCCATCTCTACTCACTTATTTTTAGAAATTCAATAACTGCGTATGAGTTACACATTTTTAAATTATAATTATTAGGTATTATATAAAAATAATCAGTTATTGCACATTAACTGGAATTTAACTTCAAATTTACAAATGTACAATATTCTTTTATTACATAACACTCGTATTATTACATAAAGCCGATTTTATTTACGTAAAGGTGTATACTTAATGCCAGTTCCTGACATATTTATTCTTCAAAAATAAATCACGTGCGAATTGTTTTAGTTTTGCTTGCAAAAAGTAAAAGTTATTTTTAAAATTGTTTGCCTTTAAGATAAGAATAATAATTGTTTTTATGTTTTAAAAGAAAAAGCATATTGTACAAGTTATTTGTGCATGGATAAGTAAAAAGCACATAACATAATTATCTTTGAAAAATATATAATAATATAGCGCTTTAAGTTTAAAATTACTACATATTTAAATAAGAATTTAGACGTTTTTTAAAATAATTATTATATCCGATCCCTGGTATATACAGCAAAGCTTTGCATTCTTTAATATTAGGCGTTTTTGGTGGCTCACAAGTGTGGCAAAAAACAGCAAGTTGCTGGCTAAAGTGTACGCAAAACATATATCTAGGCCAGTAACTGTTTACTCGCCAAACACTTCGGTCAGTAAAGAAAAAAGTGTTGCCAATGCAATAAGCGAATTGTGAACCTTCATTGAAAATACCAACAAATATTACAACTATATGTCAAAAATTATATGTAAATAAAAATTCAAACAAGATTTAAAAATTTCATAAATTTAAAAATTGGGAAAAAAGAAAAAATTTTAGTGTTTTATTTTGAAATTTCCGACATTTTATCATTCCTTTTAGTTCTGTATTTATTTTAATTTTCAATTTATATTAATTATTTATTTTTATACAAAATGTAATTTGCAAGATTTCTATGCAAGATTTGCTATTTCCCAAAACATAACACTTGACAAATTGCAATGTCTCGCTTGGCGAATATAGACCAGTATGCGTTTTTTGCTAAACTTGCGAGCCACCGAAAATGCCTATTATTTGATTGCTTAGAAATTTAAAGGAAAGAAATTTATAAGTTTCTAAGATATGGTTTATTTTTATAATTAAAAATCATGTATAAATTATTATTCTTAATTACCTGTATATTAAAATATAACTATTTCCTATGGTATGATGAGTAAATTTATTGTTTTCACAATTTAACAAAAACCTTACATTTTTGGTTAGGAATTATCTTATTAGCAATTATTAAACCAATTAGAATATTATACCAAGCACTCCTGCCTAATATAATATATATATAATATATATAAATTCTTTAGAACTAAGCTATGAATTTATAATTTTATATCTAACATCAACATACTTATGCACATGTTAAATATATACATGTATTCTATTACTTTAATACCTTTGTTTGAATTTTATAAGTAATCAACTGATTTAAGGTAAAGCTCTGGTTTGGATTTGGCCTTTGATCACATTTGTATATCTAATTTGTTTCTCTTCTTGTGGTGCTTCAGAAGCTTCTTTCAAATAATTTCGTGATTTTGCTTCAGGCAATGGCGTTGGTCTTAGCGTCGAAAATTTCGATGATTATAGCTGCTTATAAATTGAGCATTCTTAACAATTGGTAGGATGATTACCCTTGCATTCGGTACACTTAACGTCAGAGCTTCTTTCGGACATTTAGCAGACGTAGGATTTCCTTACGTGGACGTTCAAATACTAAATGTACGTAGTCGTTATACTAATAATATACACTAATATCACTAATATTATACATTTGTTTATAATTTTTTCTTTGCTTGAACTTTACAAATATGAAGTTTTTCATAATCTATATGTAATATTGAAAATGTTGTAATGGTATTTCGTTTATCAGATAGCGCAGATTTTATATCATCAAGATTTTTAGATTGGTAGATATTCAATAGCATGAGTTTGAATTTTCTTTTATTCTTCAGTTTGTAAGAGTAGAATTCTGCAGCCATCTGTCATTATCAACAAAAATTAAAGGAGATTTTATTTTTTTTCAATTTCTACTTTTTCTACATTTAACGAAGCGTATCTGTTGGTAAATGCTAATAGTTTCATAGTTTTTGCCTCATTCCTGAACAATAGCTTTCTTCAGCGCATTCATACTGGCATTTAGTCTTCACATTGCTCTCCAAAATGCCCCAGATGGAATTACTTCTGGGGTCCATTCGTAGTCTCAAATTTTCGGCAGTGCGTTTAATTAAGTAAACACGATCATTTTGAGAGTTCCTCAATGAAAAAATTTTTCTCATCAGAGATCACATTGTTTGGAAATCTACTACGTTCGTGCAAGCGTAACAACTTCTTTGCTCTTTTCGCTGCTTTGGTGTAAGATCTTGTGCATTTTAGAACTTTTAAGGATTTGATGGTGACAATATTATGCGCTGGTTTTCGCAACCTAAATTAGGTTTATGTAAAATTGCAATATTTGTTAACCCATTTTATTTTTGTTAAATTTCTTCCATTTTGCTTGCTTTCTGATAGTTCAATTATTTGATGAGTCTTCATTACTTTCTTCTGAAGAAACATTATTCTCAAAGAATAATTTTGAAATAAAATTTTTGCCAGTGTCCGTTATCAGTTATTCAGAATCAGAAATTTCGCCAACTGGTAACGGTGTACAGATTACAGCGTAATCTGTATTTGAAATTTAAAAAATTATCCTAAAAACTGAGAATTTACTTACTACCTCGTGATGTACGTGGTTGGTTGGAATTGTTTTTGTATTCTATACCATTTATGCTTCTTAGTGTCCACAAAATAATGGATCATTGAAACGTTTCAATACTTCAAAAATAATATTCTTTTTTATTAGAAAATTAGCCTAAACGGTCTTGTATTATTTATCTTATCTTCTTCTTACAATTCTTTCTCGACTTCAATTAATTTCTTCCTATTCGTTTTCTTCAATCTTGTCTAATTATTATCATCTCGGTTGGTATTTGGCTTACCGCGTATACGGTTACTTTAATGACGAGCCTAAATCGATCCAGTCTAATGTCCTCTTAACGGTTTAGGTCCGTATAAATTTAAAAAATATCAGGTCACATGATTGCTTCCGTTGTCATAAAACTACACGCAACTCTTCGTTATTCAAGGCAGCTCTCAAAGTTTAAGTAACTCAATTTTAGTGGGCTGAATACATTTTGCATTGCCTCTTTGACAAATTTTTTTCGTTTCTTTAAAGCTTGTTGAGGGGTAGTGCTAGTTTCATCGAACATTTTTTGTAATCTCCTTGCTATGACTTTCCTGACACATGTACTAGTTTGTATTCATTGGTACTTGTTTTGGTTATGTAGGTATTTCATGTTTGAACACAGTAGTAATATGTCATATTTTCTCTGTCGAAATAAAAAAACAGTTCATAATAATCTTTTACAGTGTTTTCTAGAAATAAGTTTTCTTTTGCGTTTAGATTATTATACATGTTGATTAAACTTTTTATCTTGCTAAAATTGTTAGATGTAGGTGTTGCATTTATGTTGGAATTATTTTTCTCCTTTGATTCTAAAACAATATATTTAATCAATTTGCTAAATTCGGTTTTTCAGTTATAATGCCTTATTCATTAGTAAAAATAGACTCCATAATGTACTTGTGTGAAAAATTTCTTTTTCTCTATTATTATTACTTCACCTTTTAATCCAACAATTTGTATCATACGAATTGAATGGACCGGTATTGCCAAACTTCTTCTTATACAAATCATGGTATTGAGTACAGATTAGTGCTACTTTTACCTCACCTGTTTTGGTCATACATCTAACGCTTCTCTAACTTCTCGGTGCCGTGTTTGTAGAAGGATTTCAGCAATTACTTCTTCATTTGAGATGAATTTCTTACCGGCGATCATTTTTATGAGATAAGCGAATAGCCAGTAGTCGCTGGGGGCCAGTTCTAGACTATACAGTGGATGAGGAAGCAATTCGAAGTGTAATTCGTGCAATTTCGCCATCGTTTTTATTGACTTGTGACATGGTGCATTGTCTTGGTGAAACAAAGTTTTTTTCTTCGCCATATGCGGTCGTTTGTTTACAATTTCTGCTTTTAAACTATCCAGTAATGCCTTGTAGTAGTTACTATTGATGGTTTTTCTCTTTTCGAGATAGTCAATGAAGATTATACCATGCACATTAGGGTGTCCCAAAAAAATCAAATTCTTTTTTTTTCAACGCATACCCTGTAATTATGTTTGAATAGTGTCAAAACAATTGTAAATAAATTTTCATGTCATTTGAAATAAAGGAACCCGTGCCGACTTGTCGAAACATGTCAGAACTTGCATCCTTTAGCGCATCACAGCAAAGTTATTACAGTGCTCGTTATTATTTGTTTGTTTTAGTAGTAAGCGCATTATTTTGATTCAATCAATATGTCAATAGGATTACGCAGTTTTAAAAAGGAAATATTTTTAATTGGGGATGTAAAACATCAAATCACTGGTTCAAAACTTCCCTCTAATGGACAAGTATTGGCAGTTCTATTCTACAACATTCGTGAAGTGAATTTAAGTATTACTGAAAGCGCAAATCTTACTATTCGTGAGTGCATTATTTATTGGGAAAAGGCACGTATACCAACTAAAGCTATACCTAACTGTGTTAAGAAGTTAATTACATTATACCAAGTTTGGAGAGGTTTGCAGAAAAATGCGAACAAAACACAATACGTGTACGAGCAGCGTCGACAAGAGTTTATTACAAACTTAGACAATTTGTTTGACATTGCACATGCTGACGCGCTTAAATTAATAAAGATAAATGAAGATAAAATCTTCTTGCAGCGCCAGAGAGAGCCAGGTCGACCTGGTTACTTAGCTGGAGTGGACAAAAAATTAGCCGAAAAAGAGGAAAATGCGCATCTTAGAAACATTGAGGAACAAAAGCGTCGTGCTAATTATTGTTTATCCTTAACTGCTTCGACGATATCTTATCACGAAAATTTATCTTCTGATTCTGAAATAATGGATCTACAAGAAAATTTACCCATCCAAACTGGGAGTGCGCAGTCCGCTACTAAAAAAACTTCTATAAGGAAAAATTTTATCACTCCAAAGTTAGTGGCAGCTTTAGATAGGTGTCAGTTAAGTATGAGAAATTCTGTATTTATTATTGAAGCTACTCTTGAGGCACTTGGACACAATACTGACGAATTTCCTATAAGCAAGTCCTCCATTCAAAGAATTCGCACAGAAAAACGAAAACAGCGTGCAGAAATTATTAAAGTCGATTTCCAAAACGAAGTACCAGACATTGTAACTGTCCATTGGGATGGCAAACTGTTGCCGGCTTTAGATGTCCGCAAATGTAGAGAAGAACGTCTCCCGATTGTTATTTCGTATGGTGATA